GTTCCACTAACGGGAAACTCGACTGCCTGTAATTAACTTTCCTCTAAAGTGAATTCATTGCTTGGAAGGAAGAAAAACTTAGAGGTGTTCATGCCCTGTGGAAGCATACAAAGAATTCAGGCATACTGAAGTCATATTTGGTGCACTGTTAAAATCTTGGGGGGTTGTTTTTTTGTTGTTGGGTTTTTTTCTGTTGGTTTTGGTTTTTTTTTTGAGAGAGAACAGCTTCCAAGAATTTACTACTCAATATCATTAAAGCCACAACCTAGAAATCCAAACTGGCAACTCCTTATGGAAGAGAGGCTCCTCAGCCAGGAGGAATTCGGCTGTAAAGTAACTGTGGGATCTGGCAGCTGGGATTTTTCAGTCTGAAATTGGTCACTGTTTTGTTCCCTAGATGTTGCTCCTCTCTGCCCAATCCTGCACTGAATCCAGTAGCCTGGAGAAAGGGAAAAACCAACATCTAGAGCAAGGAGCAGAAGAGAGATGGGAAAGCATGTTAGACCGTGAAAGCAGGAGACAGCAGCTGCTGACAAAGCCCTCCATTCTGTTGCCATCCTGCCACAGTCCCGGTCACACGAAAATATCCCAGCAGCACACGTGAGAGCCATCAGCCAGCTGAGTGTTCCCTGGTGAAGGCATTTTGTGTGTTTGTTGTGAGATTAGATACTACACGGTATTTGTAAAGATCTGTGTGGCCAGTGCAGCAGAATCACGTGTCAGCAGCAGTGATTTAGTAGTCAGCGTTCAGTGGTTTGGTTCTTCTTTCCTGCACGGCTGCGAGAGTTAGGTGCCTGCTTCCACAGAACCTGCAAAAGACCATGGCAAGTTATTGAAGTCTAACATGATACAGGGTATAAACATTGGTTACCTTTAGCCATCCTTCAGGTTCTCTCTATATCCGTGAGTTTACAAGGTTTCTACCATGAGACAGAGTGAGCCAGCTTACGGTTATGGAAGCAGCACTCTCATAACCTTGGATCCACGAACCGAACCAGCAAAAGACTGGGTGGTTATCATCTTGCTGAGAACAGGAGCAAAAACGGAGCAGTGACAAAGAGGGGGCCAAACAGCCCGCGGCTCCTCCATCCAGAGATTTGCAAGACTGGTCTCTGCACAGCACTGGTCTGTTTGTTCTACCCCAATGAGTTTATACGTGGGGTTTTGATTTGGTTTGGGTTTTTTCATTTAAAGACCTATGCAAGCTCCTATGATACACCTGTATGTGACCTGGGGAGTTCTCTGTCAGTACTTTCCTTTGGGGTAAATCTTGGAAGACAAAGATGTTGAAGCATCTTGGAGGGTTATCTCGTGTCTGTGCTGCTTACCGCCAACGCTATATTCCATGTATTATGGGTCTGGGTTGGCAAGAGAAAATTCAGCCTGGAAGTTTTGGCAGATCATAAAGTACTGAGTTTGAGAGGCTGCGCAGAGAATATGCACCCTGGTCCTACTGCAGTACTGGGAGGAGGACGAGGGTGGAATCGCAGATCGGGCTGCTGGAACAGTTATATCCATACTGGTGACCCCAGTTCTCCATTCTTGATCCCTAATGTGTCAGACACCTTCGCAGTTAGAAAGCTCCACCAAAAAAAAAAGAAAAAAAAAAAACAAAACCAGAGAAGTAACTACTTTTTAAGCTTAAAAGGTAACCTTGCGCAGGGAGCACCGCTAGCCTTTTTCACAGTGGGAAACTTATTTCCACCGTAGCCGCCTGTTCTTTGAGAAAGGTTCGCAGATCTTTGAAAACAAAGATCTTTAATGTTTTGCCAAATAAATTCCGTTTATTTGAATGTGAAAGAGGTATCTGCTATTCGGTACCAAAGAGGTAACCCCCCCAGTTGCTACCACACGGGTTAAGAAATCATTCGGTGTAAGGTGGTCTCTCCCTTCCCCGTGCAACCCCACAGCAGACCCGCTGAAGCGGCTCACAGCCTTTTCCAGGCCGCTGGTCTAACTGCCAGGGTTTTTTTTAACGAATGTTCCATCTCGTGTATCTAAAGCAGTAGAAGGAAAAGTATTAAGGCGTATTTGTTCCAGTTTAATAACAAGTTTAACCCAAACTGGGGAAGTGTGATGATGGTATTTTTTGCGCTGCCTGGACATACTACTGACCTGCTTAAGGGAAACTCTGCTTTTTGCCAAAACTTGATCAAAGCGGTGCCTTTACAGCTGCGTACGAGATACAGAAAAACATTCCTCTGCCGAAACTAATGGTCCTGGCCTGTCTGTGGGCAGAGGTAGGCCCACCCGAGATGCTTTATGCAGAAGTAAAGCGTAAGCAATGCAAGGAACTGCGCCCGCAGGCACTGCAGATGGGGGGGGGCTTCAGCCTGCATTTCCCATTCCCCTTGACCCTGCTGTTTAAAAGACAAGGGCGCTGACTGTGTGCATGGGGCAAATTTGTTCACACCATTCACCCAACCAAAAATGCTGCGTTTTGTAGGAAGCAACAAAAAATGTTTACCCGGGATTGTTTTCCTTCTCCGGTCCAGAGAATTCGCGTTAGTTCTAGAGGGCTGCAGCAGCGAAGCAGAGCAGAGGGGCGGCGAGGGCGCAGGCACGCCTGGCTCTTCTTCCTTTGTCACAGCACACAACCCCAGGTGCTTTTCCAAAACGCGTTCCTTGGCTGGCTCGGTCACAACCTCTCCCATATCACGCCGCACCACAGGCGAGCGCTTTGGTGAGCGCTGCAAGACTGAGGGCCTAACGCCATCACTGACGTGAAGTACAGTTAAGACAGGAGGCGCGATAGCCGTAACGAACGTCACCGTAGGCGCATCGCCTCTAGACACGCGCACAAGCCGTTTTGACCCATCGTGTAGACCAGTAGGTCTCTAACTGTTGTCATCGGGTGCAAATTTTCCATTACACCCCCTCTTGGGTAGCGGGTATAGCAGCTGTTGTGAACTTCTCGTGGCCGCTTCTTGGAAGCATTTGGGAAAGCGGGATGCTGAAGAGCGAATATTATCTCACATTCTACATCCTAAGCCTGGAATGGAGGCTACACAAAAAGCCAGGTGAACCATCAGGTTTTCCTGAGCTCAGTATCAAAACGGCCCCCGCAATTCCACGGTAAACTCGAGCCTTATGGTGTACGAGCACAAAGTAACCCTGAGTTTTGTTGACTTATTTTTACTTTGTTGCAAACCTTTGGTACAGGACCAGAGTCCTGCCTATGTCCGTAATTCCTCACCTAGAACTAAAAACAAATACAAAAGGGACTAGAGAAAGCATGTATCTGCTTAACAAGCGGTGTTGAAAGGCTCACTGTATGGGTTACCCAAGCTATTTTGCTTCATGAACTGAACTGGGAGCTTATAGAGACGAGCGCTCCTGCATCCATGCACAGCAGAGTGGAAGCTTGGAGCAAGCCACAGGAATTATGGAAAACTGCCGACACAGAGAGCTCTGCCCGACTTCCCTCAGTTAAAAAAATATTAATTAAAAAAAATATGAATGAGGAGACAGCTGCAAATTACCCTTCCCATTTCAGGACTGATATGGTCATTTGACGATCACTGGCGCAGTACAGGCATGTACCGGTACGCCCAACACAGCACGCACTGCCACCCTCGCCTGCTCCTCGAGCGGGCTGTGCGTATGGCGTCGGCCCACAGGAAGCACAAACGCACCACCCAACACACGGCCGCTTACGGCCGCACGCGGGCGTTGGGTCTCCCTGCCAGAAGCAGCCGCCTCCAGGCAAGGATGGGGACGCTCCTCTCTGGCTCTCGCTCCCAGGCAAGGATGGGGACGCTCCTCTCTGGCTCTCGCTCCCAGGCAAGGATGGGGACGCTCCTCTCTGGCTCTCGCTCCCAGGCAACAGGTTTGCCGAGCTGCTCCCCAGCCGACTAACGCAACTTCCCAGCCCTTCACAACAGCGGGCCACGAACACCAGGTACCTGGCAAGCAGCAGCCACCCCTCTCCCGCTTCCTACTACCCCCAGTTCCCCAGCCAGCCCTGCAGCTGTTTCCCGTGCCTCTGCATCCAGCCACCTCGCTATTTCTGCACTCTGCTCTCCTTAATTTTGAAAGGACAAAACCAAAGTTAAAAATGCCAGCAGTTCTCCATGTAGAGACTTGGCACTTTGGTTTACAGTGAACAATTTTCTTAACATTGCCCGATTTGTCTGGATCACCAATAAATACCGGTAAAACCATCAGGGTTGGAAGGTTATTTAACTTCAGTATTTCAGATCCTTTGCTTTCATCTGACTACGAGTTTTCCAGCTGCAATTTATGGATGAACCAGAACAGATAAGACATATTGCACAATGACCAGTAAGCTAGATCTTGTTTTGTCACCGATCTCCCCTGGTGTATTGTATCAAGCTTTTAAAATGGTTGGATGTGTGTTAGTGTTTCCTTTAACTACTTGTTATTAGTTCCTGGCACTGACCTTCAGACATAATAAACAAAACTACATTTCATACGCTTACCCTCTTAAAATCATGACAAACTCTTCCAGTGGCATTCCCTGACAATCATGATGAAATTATTTTTGTTGTGAGGGCTTCACAGTCCTACTCCTTTTGCTGTGCCAACATCAACATTCAACCAGCCCCACAGCGAGTTACTTCAGAGGGCAAATCTTGCTGGAAGTCTGAACAAAGTCAATCGTGTTTCCCTCCTTCAACCACCTCACCATGACTCCAGCAAGCACCAGAGACGGCACAAGGGAAAGCCGGACTACCCGCTCCGCTCAGCCATCCCGCGTAGCCGTGCGGGCAGACGAGGCTCCTGGAGGAGATGGGTTAAATGCTGACTTCATGATCCATCCAGCAATATCCAGTCTTGCTTAACCTATGTTCCAAGGTGACACAGAATGCAGACCAAAAGACAAGAAACCGCATCTCAGTGGAATTAACTTTTATTAAGGGGGAAAAAAGGTTTACACGTAGTTGTAGGTTTTTCCATCCATACTTGCAAAACTCCAAAAAGGACTGGAAACAAAATTCACTTAATCATTATTGCAATACCAAAAAGTTGGTGGGTTGTTTTTTTTTTTTTTTTTTTTAAATGAACAGCAAATTATATAACTAATTGCTATGTTCAATAAATATTTTTTCTCCTGCACCAATGGAGGGGAAATATTCAACCAAGTACAATAAAACCCTCAGGTTTTTTTTTTTTTTTTTTTTACAGTTTTAACTTCCAATGTTATCCACTGTGTAGCAATCCTGAAACTTTATTTATAAAACACAACCTTAGTTTTGAGTGTACAAGGATCTATCTTCCCAGTCAGTCAAATACCAAATTTTGCTCTAGCTCAGACAGTCTACACTCAAAGCAACTACCTGACAAAAATAAAAAAAGTCCTCTGGTTCATGACTAAGTAAATTTGTCATTACAGAAAAGGCTCAAAGTCATTACTTGTTTATCAAAGTAAGAGGTAAACATTTTAACAGAAAGATTAACGAGTTACTTGGAAATGCAGGTTTATATTAAAGTATCTGAGTGTGTATATTACATATGACATGCAAGCTTTAAAAATATCAATGCTCTCTTCTGATTAGTCAGGAGTCCAGTTGTTTTAAAAACAAAATAGGAATGACTTCCAAAACATATCAGCACTTTGGGTTCTCTATTTCATTTTACTTAAGATGTTTTACTACACAAAAACTACAACAATTACAATATTTAAGAGTATTACAATAAGGAGGGATGGAAAACAGGAATACTTCAACCGAAAATACGTATATTCTAAATGAACCAAAGATTTGTAAAAGAGCCGGATGGAGGACAAGGAAGGGAGGATAGGAGGGAAAGCAGTAGGGAAGCTAAGATCTGAACTTGGTATTTAAAAATCATGTCCTCAACCGTAACTCTTCTGATCTTCAGTAGCGCCCTGGGGGAAAAAAAAAAAAAAAAGACTTGATTACTATAAACTAACCATACACATCACCTCACAGCTTGAATGTGTCCGGCTTTTTTGCTTTCACGTTCAGAATTTCCACTGATCGATTAATACTAATAACAACAAGAAGGTTTAAGCCAGCCAGATTCTGTTTATTCGCTTGTATTTACTTACTTGGACTATAGGAACGGGATCTTGATCGTGATCGGTATCGACTATAATAAGGCGATGGTGATCGTCTCCTTTAAAGGAAATTAAAAAAGAAACCCAACAACATCCATTATGAAAGAAGCCTTATTCACATCACTTCTACAGAACAGAACCATTTCCTCAGCACTGAAAGACTTGGCCTGCATGAATGATTTCAGCTTTATTTGGCTGTGGCCTACAGTTATTTAACAAATGCTTTTATATTTCTTTATTTGATGTGTTTAAAACTAAGATATTCCCAGACAAAGAATTTAATAAACTCTCACTAGCCTCGCAAACACATGAAGTGCTTTTCCAGAGGGCTCTAATTCTTGTTGAACAACGTTCTCTGAAACTAGATAACTTCCAAAACAGTGAGATGGTTATGAAATGTCAAGCATTACAAGTCCCATCTACAAATAACCCCTTTTTAAACAGCGCTGTGTGTCAGCTGTGCCTGATTCTATATACAGCATGGAAAAATGAGTTCCCTTTCTATCCGTCCACCAGATTCGTAGGGCACATGCTTTAGCTCCTTCAGGTGGCAAAATTAACCCCTTGCCCTACTGTTTACTGTATAACCAAATTACACAAACACTGAAGATGACTTTAATCCCACAAAACCTAATGTAACGAGGCTCTAACACATAGCAAGCACGTATGCAGAATCTTGCTACAAACCAAGTAACATTTTTGTCACCTAACTTCTCATTTTTTCCAACAAATCCACTGTTCCTACAGAAATAAAAATTGGGTACCTGTATCTGTAGTCATATTCTTCGTATCTGTCATATCCTCTGTCATAACCCCTATCATAATATGAGTCACGGCGACGACCTGCTCCACCACCACCACCTCCTCCGCTGCTATTAGGGAAAAAGTAAAAAAATTACTTCAGATATCTACTCTTCATCTTGATTTAAATTATTTAAAAGCTATTTAAATCAGACACTTAAGACCATGCCACGAAACAATTTAACAATGAAACATTTAAAGAAAAACACCTTAAAAAAAAAATCCCAGAAAACCCAACTAGGGATTTGAGCCTAATTCCCATCAAAATCAAAGGCAAATGAGTACCTTAGTATTTCAGTAAGCTAAGGGTGCATTAACTGACCGTGCTGGATATGTATTTTTTAAAATAAACTCCTTCAGGGTTTGTTTTTTTTTATAAATAGAGGTAGAATAAAATACAGTGTTATTTAATAGTATATGTGAAGCATCTGTAGCTCTATTTCTTCAACCAGACCCCAAACATTCAGTTTAAATTAATTTTAGTCACATTACAGGAAATGAGTGAACTCCTTACTGTGTTGGCCTGCCCATGTAGATGCCTGGGGTGGGTGTATGTGCCCTCTTGGTGATTGAGTAATCCACCCGAATCCTCCTGCCATCCAGCTCCATACCATTTGCATGCTCCATTGCCTGCAAGGAGAGACAAGGAACAGGGATGCAAAACCTGCAACCTACTGGTAACTATGGAAGGCTGCGTACAAAACACATTATTTTCCATCAGAAAAACAAGCCCCGAACTTGTTTTATTTAGATTGGTTTCTAGTGCCCCACTGTGGCGAATGGCTCATCTCTGTCCCCTGGCCCGTTTGCCAGCAGTGTTGCAGGGACTGCACTGGGGTGCCGGAGTAACGTGACACGCAATCCCTTCTTAAGAGAGCACGGTGCTAACCACTAAACACAGTCACTTTCCCTAGACTTTGCCTTCTACCCATCAGAAAGGTAAACTGAAAGTCAAAACAGCTTTTTCTGAAAGCTGCATCTTTCCTACCGCTGTCTCTGACCCAGAGGGGACGGGCGGATTCAAAAGCTGTGCAAAACAGTGGCTTCCTGTAGGGTGCATATGGCCGGATTACTGCTAGTCGGCTGCCATTTCATGCTCTCCCAGCCTCCTGCCATCTCCCTTACAAGGACCTACTCCAGCAGAGCTTAGTAAAATGGCGGGTTCAGCCTACATGGATACCTAATTACAACCTTCCTCCTCACTCACTCTCACAATAGCAGCTCGCTACAGCGATACTCATAAGGGTCTGCGCTTGAGAAGCCTGTGCCTCAAGACCCGCCCGCAGCCTGTGCACACACTCACTGGGTGTTCTAGCCCCTGCTTCTCTAGTCTTTGAGAATCAATACAATGGCCTTTCACAGACTCAAAATCATGAAAATAGTTTTTCAAAGGAGCACAGCGTACTTTTGAAAATTATATTCATGCAACAGTAACTTTTAAAAAAAACCCCACAACCGTAAGAATTTAACAAACAGTTAACACTGGACTTAAAATTTTTCTTTGCAAATTTTAATAGCTTTTTTTGATCCTTTCATCAGCTGCTCTAGGATGTCTGAAATACTAGTATTTCACCACTTAGTTCGTGACATTAAGCACGACACTTAGCCCAATACACATTATTTTCATTTTTCATGTGCGCAAACACTGTTACAATCTTGAGTTAAAGAACTCAACCACTTGGCTATTATTTAACTGTGAGGAACAGTACACAACCTCAAAACATGGAGGTGCCTCTTAAGCGAGGCTTTCTTTCTTTTATTTGTTTTTAAATAATGACACAAACAACTATCCAGAAATGTAACTTTTTGCAGCTAACAAGAACCTTATTGAATTAACACACAAGTTATAAAGGAGGAAACAAAAACCTGACACCCACATGATTTAACTGTGATGTCCTCAAACTGGAAGTGACTGAATTATCACCAATCTATTTAACTACACTTAGCTTGTGTTTTAATAATGCTGTTTATATCTATACTATATCGCCACCTAGTGAGTTGTGTTCCCATACAAAAATGTAACATCCACGTTTAGCTAACTGCAAGGCAGAGCCAAAGAGCATTTCAAATCTTTCAACATACATTAAAGTATGTTTTCTGAATAAAACATAATCGTTAGCTTTAGTTCCCTAGCATTGAGACTTTTTTTTAGGTCCTGTTCCACAAGGATGATCTAAATCAAAATAAATCTGTGCACACATCCTAGGAATGTATGTGTGCACAAACCTAAAAACGAAGACTGCAAATAGCCGGCTGAAAAATTAGCTTCGTGATGAAAAGCATCTTTTTGGAAATGCAGCAATATGCAAGTTATCTTGAAGGGTAAGGAATTTTCTGCTTCATGGCATTTTAATGTCCAATTAACAGCTTGCAGAGTAGTAAGCCTAGCTGACAAGAAAGCACCTCAAATCCAGAACATCTGGCATATGTGCCTTATTTTAGTTAAAAGAACACACACCTCTTTAAAAGGAAGAGTTCTTGGACATAGGGAGCAGTACAGAGAAGAGCAACGTACCAGCAAGACAGCTGAAGAGGTAATTTTGAGGCTTGATTGTTTGTTCTGGAGGTGTTAGATTTCAGTGGATAAAGATTAGTTATAGTTACCAGTCTGTATGAAACTGAGACACCCTGGTCACAATGTCTAATGACCTACCCAATATTAAAACTTTAATTTCCTTAGCTTTCAACAGCTGTCAGCAATAACTACCAACTAAAAAGTTTAAAATAATTGAAATCTGTAATAGGTATACAGACACAACAAAGCCTTTTACAGTTCTGATGGTATCTCCCACAAGCAGAAGAAACAAAACCTACATTATGAATCCAACAATAATTTATATTATTTATCACTCACATTCAGTCATTAGCAACTGGAAATTCCTTCCAAAGCTGTTTTCAAATTCTTTGCCTCATTCTTCATGTGCATATCAAGTCTTTGAAACAAAGTACTTAAGAAGTTGACGTTACTAGCTAAGAACTGCTGCGATATGACCAAAAGCCCTATTTGAAAACCTGGTTTCAGAAAAAGTGATACAACAGTGTTTATCTTGTACAAAGACTGAACAAACATATTAGCGATTCTAATTACTGATATTTTTGTGTTTTCTTTGAAGTTAAAACAGTTTATAATCAAATTTTGGATTTTACAATTTTATTAGCCTAGCATGCCATATTCAAACACATTTCAGTTCGCTTTTCTTGCTGGTTTTGGGTATGCACGAATGTTGTGTTAAGAAAATTTAAATGTTAAAGGAAAAAAAAATGTGCACATTCCCTCTAACAATGCAGAATACATTCTCGTATACTGTTTAGAAGACAGAAGTATATTTTCCAGACCATCAAATGAAACATTTTGAAGAGAAAAATCAAGTTATATTGGGGTTTAAGACACACAACTCCCTCTTAGGAGCTTTTAACTGTCAACAGTCCATTTTTTATTTTAACCTGGATTTTTTTCCAAGTATCTGAATGTTATTAAAAGACTTGCATGACTTTTGCAAGGTGACAGTAAGGAAGCAAGCAAACAGGATTCCTATAAACATGTACTACTAGTTTTGGTTACAAATCCTACAGAAAAATTGACTTTGTAGACCAGAATACACATCTGTATGTTTGCAGTCAGAAAACAGAGAATGAGGATTGGGAACAGCACGTCTTGGATTACAGTTTTAAACCTACAGCAGTCTATCCTTAATAAAAAAACTAATTCAAATTATTATGTGTAAGGTGTTAGTCTGACAAAATGAGCAGTTCCCACACTACAGGATCACAGCCTCCAGTGGCTCAAAACAGTCAAGAGCAAAACCAGTTTGGAAACACCAAACTTTCAAATATATGCACAAACTTACACAGGTGACTGGTATTAGTTAAGCAACCAAGAATTCACCAAAAGAAATCAAACAATCTTCCAGTCTGGATAATGCCACAAAGAGCAGCTTGGACAAGGAAACATCGTGGGAAATTTCTGCAACCTGCTCTGCAGTTGCAGGGGAAGGCTCAGGAGAGGAAGGGGGAAGTCGGGAGGGAGAGAACTTGCCTTGGCAGAGCTGATGTCCCAGTCACTTCACATTTCTACTGCAGAGTTTGAGATACCGTTTGTATTGTACAAAAGATCATCACACCTTCATTTCAACTGCGTCTAACGGCTTTGAATTATTTCAGTAATGTGACATCACTACATTGTTAGTGACGTACAGACTAAACACACTTGAATAGTCAGATGTGAACAATTTATGTTGGGACTAATTTTGAAAATGTATTTTCACAATTTAAAAACAACTATATAAGATATGGTCTTTTTTCATTTGCTGTGCTTTTTGCGGTTTCTTGTTTGCTTTTTACCTGAAGTCCTTCCCACATTGTATTTAACACCACCAATAAAAACAATCTCCACTGTATCGCATGTACAACATGGGATAAACTGACACAATAAATTAGTTTTCTCCCCCCAGTATACTGATATCACTAGTTCAGATCTGGATTTAATGAGGCCATCTGAAAGGACATTCTGAAAAAAAAATTAAAATTCCAATGGGATGAAAAAAGAAATCAAGGAACTCAGCTTTTTACACTTTCTGCAGTCTGCCAAGTTAAATTCAAGTGTCCATTTAACCTCTGAACAAGAGTCAATTTATATTCTCCAGTTTGAAGTTTTGTTTTAAAAAAATATTAGAATACTGTCAATGATAATTCTTTAATACATAATCTTATGAGCTTAAATATCTATTGATTAAATGCATTCTCTTTAAAGCATGCTTTCAGAATCAAGAAATACAGGATTTTAGAGAACCAGAATGAGTAACTGGATATGTTTCTAGAAAGTATTAGCAATTTCATGGTGTTTCAAAGTCTCCAGAAGTCTGTAATTTGTAATTCCAGACATTTGAGACCTCCTTGTGTTCTTTTCTGGTATATTGAGGGTCCCTTTTGATACCACAAACAACACTTAAAGCATTTATTCAACAAACTATGGGAGAAGTTTTGCTCAATAATGATGCTTCTAAGCTGGTCTGCTTGCACCACAGATTAAATGTCTTGCTAATTACAATGATAACCTGTTATTAACCTGTTATTATTCCAGTCTTTGGCAACTCAATTATGTTAATAGTTCTGTATAAAGTTTGTCTTTATTACTAATGAACACTACTTCAGAAAACAGTTCTGAAAGACAGTCAAAACTGTAAAGAGCATATAAGCAGCATTAGAAAACAGAAAATTCCGTATTGCTGACAGCTGCTGTAGCTAATGCTTCTCAGATGAGTTCTTGGTACAGACATAGTACATTCACAATAGTCTCAGTTTAAACAACAACCAATACTTCATATTCTGAGTTACTGAAAAGCTGGATAGTTGCATATGAAAACCCTGGTGTAAGGATCATCTCCCTAGAACAGCCAGCACTTTTTACTCATAATCCTCTCTATTGTTAACCCTGAGATAATCAAACAACCCCCCCCAACTGTTTTCCCCCCTCATCCTAGTCCATAGAAGTTTATGTTCCTCTAAACACAGGAAGGAAATCCTAATGTGATGGTCAGGTGAAATTCCTCTATAATTTTGCAAAAATATTGCAAACCTGCAATATTACAACACTGGCTCAGTGCCAACATTGCCAATACTGAGAACTATGTAAGAACACCAATCTTGAGAAGCAGGTCTTCAACAGATGTTTACAGATCTTGCCCTTTGCCTAGCATTGCATATGTGGTTCTGAAGACTTAGCAGAAGGGTGGCCAACATAAGACAAGACACTGCAACACACAGGGGAAAAAAAGCAATGCCAAATAATTTAATCAGAGAGAATACCCTTTTTTTCTAGAAAAAGGTAGATAACAATATAAGCTTTTCAAATAGGTTTTGAACAAAGAACACTGAAAAGAACATTGGCACAGCAAACCCTCAGGTTTTCTGGACAAACCACCATCAATCCTCAACGTTTTCTGTTTGCTATCACACTTCGAACTAAAGATAGCGTCCCCAAGCATGTTCAATATTGGCCAGAACGTAACAATCTAGCCAAGTGGTATCATGCAAACACTAGGCCACTGCAATAAAAGGCATCTGATGGAAAAGAAACCTTCTGTCAGACCATAAAGTTTCATCTCCATCTCAGTAGTTTCTAACAGAGTAGAAGAGATTCCACAAGAAATCTGCTTTAGAACAGACACATGCATCCAACATTTCTTTCCCAAGTCCTGTCAAGGTGGAACAACCTGAAGCTACTGTGATGCTCTGACAGCTGCTCTACCTAGTAAGTTATCAAAAGCTAAATCTCTGCTCCTCTTTATAACCAAGATGATCATAAACAGCTAACGACAAGGCTGCTATGGTGTCACAATCCATGTGAAGTTCTGAAAGTCTAAAACAGCTTAAGTGAAAATAATCTTTATTACTGCCCACTTGATATTTTTAGGACACTGCAAAGTATCACCTTAAAGAAATGCTATTTTGCATTGTCTAAGGATATCCACAACATCGAGCTAGCTGACAATTCGAAAATGTCCCCACCACCATATAGAACTAGAAACACTGCATCACTTGGTTTCAGAATCTTGACACACAGCAACATTTTAACCAGCTCAATAACTGATCCAATTGTTAGGAGTGGTAACCTGTGACAACAAAGATCCTGAGGGATTTCAGCTGCAACAGAATCCATGCCATACTGATACAATCTTAAAACAAGTTATGAAAGTTTAAACATAACTACACACAATTCATTTGGTGTTGAATTTTAATATTAACAGTGTTTGAGAGCATGTCAGCTGAGAGGCTTCCCCATGTTGCCTCTCTTGGAAGGACAACAGCAAAGATGATGGGAAATCCTCATTTTTCTGTAAAGTTCTACACATTTAATCCACCTATGCTTTAAAAGGGCTGGAATTTAGTTCAACATCTCATCTAGAGTTTTGTATTCTCTTTACTCGGATGCTTAGGGTGTTGCGGGTTTGGGGTTTTTGTTGGGTTTTTTTTTGGTTTTAAGAGGAAAGGTATTTACTCAGAACAAAAGCAATTCAGTGTCATTGCTTTTATGCATACTCAACTTTTCAGATTTGATCTGTCTTCCACACAGATAATTACTTAATGTCCTCCAGGGCCTGTCACAGAGTTTCATGCCTATAGCTCTAACTCCTTTTCCTACACTAGCTCCCACTTATTGCCATCTTCAAATCTGTCTTCAAGGTCCATGAAGTAAGTCAAATAAGTTTTTCTCCTCTCCTTTTGGCCAAAGTATTTCAGTTACGTAAATTCCAAGTGCTGGGAGGTTTTGCATCTTTTCCCCCTCTTCATGCGCTAGCCCGTCAGGGAGAAAAAAAAAACAGGTTTAATTACATTCCCAATTATTTCAGTTCCTGCTTAAAGTGCTCATCTTTAATTCTGTATTTCTGACTGCAAGTAATATCCCCCTTTTTCCCCTTTGCACTACAGCTTTTCAGTATCTGCCAAAACAGCTTTATACTAAACAAATTACTTCATGCTATTTACACGGAACATTCTAAGAAATGCATGGTGTCATGCATGACTATTGCCCATAGCAACTAGGAAAAAAACCCTACTTCTAAAGACATACAAAGTTGTAAAATAGACAAGACTGGTACATGAATGTGACAAGAAATACTGTGAAAGTGTTCTAGAAGTTATATGTTCTACAAGACAGTCACATTTTCAAAATCCCGCCAAACTCAGAGCACAAAGAAATACAAGGCTAGAAGTTAGAAGAGAGTAGGCCACTAGAGGTGGATATACAGCCATCCACCCCATTAACTCCTCTCACAACCTGTCCAAGTGACAGTGGGAAAAGACAGAAGCTACGGTAAGGGAAGTTTTATGTCCTTTTACTTACCTCCATAACCTGCAACAACCACACATATATACATCTAGAAACCCTATTCTTCCCATAAACTGTCTGTTGGATCATACCAGAAATCCAAGGTCAGAACCGAGCCTAGTTCAACCAAGTCATCCATGACTTTTTTTTTTTCATTAAAACATCAACTAGCATCAGTTTTCTGAAGTAGGTTCCACAGCTGTTGCCCTCCCTCCCTTCAATGCTAAGTGAGAAGTCATATCCCAACATTATGAAAACTTATCAAACATAAACAGAATCAAACAGCAAATCTGAAACACCTGCCCAAGACTCTTAATTCATAAATAAGACGCTTGAAGTCTGTGACTCAGTTTGCCCAAAAGAAAGAGATAATTCCACCATGAAGGCTTAAAGAAAAAAAAATTTTTTTGAAAAAAGGCTGTGTCTTTACTTTTAATAGCAGTTGCATCTACAAAATTCAGTAAATGTAGTGAAGTTCACAGTACCCTTACACAGGTAAAAAAAAAAAAGTACTGCTTACTGTGGTGAACCACAATACAGGCTGCTGAATCTTCGATTCTTTCCTTACAGATCAATTACACTAACAACTCAGCCCAGCTGTAAACAGCTATCCATGTAACTAGCAAAATCACTGACCAAGGCACAAATCAAGACAAACCCCACTATTTTTCAAATGCACGATGACGTGCTTTTAGAGAAGGAAGTGAAAAGTAAAGAGAATCTTCAGAATTTTGATAGATACAGGAAACTACTTTGAAAAGATAGCTTCCAAAATATTTAAAAAATACTAGGAGGTCTCTACGTCTGTCTAAAGATCTACTTTCCTTTTGAAGTAACAGACTAAAATCAAAGCACAATGCTCATCAGTGATTCAGTACAGACAGCTCATGCTCAAAATTTGCCCAAGCATCTGAACACTGAACTAAAACGCTTCATCTGTTTAAAAGTGCCATGTTGTTTGACCAAAATAATTTAAATTAATCTCACTGTGAGAACCTGCTAGTGAAAACACACTCAAAAATGTTGTTTTTTTTTAAGAGATACTAATGAAGACAATGCAAAAAGACCACACCTGTTAAAAAGTACTAAAGCATGAATTTACCTCTTTAGAATCATCGATTCTCTCAAAATAAACGAAAGCAAATCCTCTTGATCTTCCAGTCCGTTGATCATAAACCACATTGACACCAGTCAAAGGTCCGTAACGGGAAAAGACTTCACGTAAATCCCTCTCAGTAGTATACAAACTGAGACCAAACACTCCAAGACATGTATTAGGATCTGGATTAGCCTGGTAAGACAAATGTTCAACTCCAATTAAATTTATAAAAAACAAGTTACACATTCTCATATCAAAACTTCTCAATTATTAAAAGTTTATTAATCTGAAGAAAACTAAACATGGTTTATTACAAAGCTTAACACTTCGACAGTTATCATTCCAACTGTAAGACATTTTCAAAAAGCAACTATTTACATTATTTTTATTTTAGAAAAAAGACAAAGACGAACTTCTCATGTTGGTAGAAAACTCAACTGATGAAAATTAAGCACTCTGATTACAGAAAAGCTATAGAATAACAGGAACCTATTTTATTAGTATTTCACACTTGAATCGCCAACAAGCTGTAGACATGACATACAAGTCTGTGCTAAGAACAGGCCAGCCAGCCTGAACTCCCACCTTCAGCCTTCCCGCACAATCACCACAGCTACTAGAGTGCACGCTGCCTCCAGTTGCACACACTAAATGCATTTGAGCTCCTAAACACAGACAGTGTAACTATAATTTAGCTTCTACTGAAACTTCCTCCGCCCTCAACATTTCCTATCAAACTATACTGAAAGTCAGTATTTACATTTGAAAGTTCATCCTTCTCCACTTGTAAACTGGATGAAAGTCACCTGCTGCTTTCATCTCGATAGTAACAAGTGCTGAAGGCCAGTTCAGTGAAACTGTAATCCAAAGGCACGCACACTTTTCTAGAGCAAGACTCTTGATACTCTAACATGACACGGGATACAGATCTACTTAACATATTTCACTTCAGCTAAAGGAAGTCAGATATGAAATTGTTCAAGGTACAATTTCTCTATTAGGTTCAAAGTTTCTCTACGTGCCACAGAGTTCATCTAATGCGAATTCCACTGTAAGAATTGTTTTGATAAAAATTAGTATGTATTTCTTCAGTTAAGCTTCTGGCACCTGTTATACTAGATGCAGCAATTTAAAACAGCAGCAACGGACACAGGGATTTAATGTTTCTGCTAGAATAACAACTGGAAGTCGACACAGTTGAAATTTGTATTTCAGTTTCAGATTTTTCAAAGCCACTGATGCACAGTAATTTGTGCCTCAGAGCTTGCCTTTCAGCCTGATTCAAAGAATGAACAGGTTTAGATACTCTATTGTGTTCTTTTCAGAGCTTTTGTTCAGGAATCCATTGCAAAAATAAGATGCCTAAACTACTCATATTTGAAGTTTCTTTCTTTCCATTTGTAAAAGTTCAAATTTTGTTTTAAGACATGAATCTTCTGCAATTCTGTATTATAACTGAAGAGCAAAATAAAAACTGGCAAGTTTGTAATTTGAAAGTTTTAATTATACAGGTTTAGGTTTCTCTTTTACTCTGTATTTTAATCTATCTCATCATTCAGCGGCATTAACAATTATACTCCTTTTATTACTGAAACTCTTGTGAGTCTAATGAAATCTCAGTCTCTTAAATCATTGGACAAGTCTTCCCGCAACGTACATACCAGTAGTGTCCTTTCTTTACACCCCCCCTTACACTTAAACCCTATTACCTTTGCTGAGGCAAGAGAAGTACCAAGAATCAGTCTGCACACCCCAAGCGACAAGTGACAGTTACATCACCAGCAGAAGGACTAAACTGACTGCGGAGGACTAAGAGGCAGCTTTTCTATTAGGTTTTTGTACTGCCCTCCCATCTACACAATATGCAAGCTCTCTCAGCAAGATCAGAAGTGGCAAAATTGCTATAAATTTTCCTAGTGCCTTTAGGACTCGCTATTTAGGGGATTCAAATCAGGCTGATTTGAGTTTTGTTTTGACACTAACTAGAACTATTCCTTAGAATGAATGTGAAAATTCACCGTGAAAACAAGTTTTGTGTTTCACTGAGTCACTTCCAAGGCAAAAACACTTCTTTACAGAGCAAAATACTCTAATATTAATTTCCTGAAGTAGTAAAGTGGATTCATTCATCTTTCACCAGGAAATCTGCTAACCCTTTTGAAGTTCAGTTACTCCTGCCAATTTCTGAAGACATTAGATTCTTATTTACTACATCATGATTACACACTGGCAACAATCCACAAAAAGCGTAACTATGAACATTGCTTCACAGGAGTTTAAGCCACTGTACACTAGCACTGCTGTGCCCTTTTCTACATACTCTTGTCTTCTCCTTCACATTGGTATTACCTGCTCCTGGTGAGCTGCTTCACCAAAGTAAGCCTGCAAAAAAAAAAAACCCTATACTCTTTTTGACAGGATTAGTAAAAAAAATTGGAGAAACTAAACCAGATTAAAATTACAAGGATCAGAGAAGTACCACAGCCCTCACCAAGGAAGAGGCAGGCCTCTGTGTAACAGCACTCAGATCAGCCTGAAGTGATGTGTAACCAGAAGCTAAGGCACTGAAATGGATTATAAAGAAGGCCATTGGGAGAAATCTCTCAGAATGATATTAGTATCTTAAATCTTGGTTGGTGTACCTATACTTCCTCCTGTCCATACAGAGATACTTCTCATTTACATTTTGAGAGGCTTACAACTGCAAATTTTTCTAGTCTATTATGATTTGCACGTTAGCTAATAACACACAGATTTATTTCTTCAAGTTAAACCTAATTAATTACTCAGAGGTATAAAATCACAAGCAACGTTCAACATAATATGCTAATAAACACTTGAGAATTTTCTTCTTTGTCTCCTCTAGTCAATCTTATCAATACTGTCAGGTTGCAAGCATGCACAGAAAAGGTCTCGTTTTTGTCAAGGTTACATATACTTGGAACTGTAACAAAAAGAAAATCAGAAGGGTGCAACTTCTAGAGCAGGCGGAAGCAGATGTCACCCTATCTCCATATACTGACTTGCAACAGTATGGTTTTCAATGAATTTCTACAACTGTCCTGCCAGTTGCAGGCCCAAGAAATAAGTGCCCAGCTGCAAGGACAGAGATTGCCCCCCACCCCCCAATTCCCATACCCTCAGTGACAAGACAGCAGGTCAAATTCAGCCTGCAGGTAACCTGGACTACACTGATGTAAGCAGCAATTATTTTACTGATACTCAGCCTTGATGAACATGACATACTCTGCTGCCAGTGTGCCTTCTCCTGTTGGACATTGGAGAATGACTACGGCTCCTTCGACGGCGGTATTCTGGTGTGTACGATCTGCTTCGAGAACGTCTCCTATGGGAATGAGAATGGGAATGGGATCTGGAACGAGTGTAACGTCTGTGCGAATGTCTTCTGGACCTGGATCTTCAACAAAGAGAAAGCTTTTAGTTAGGTCATATGCATATAATGTATTCAATTGTAAGCCTTACATTTCCTAGAGAAAAAATTATTTTTTTTTTTTTTTAGAAGCTCTCTACAATTAAAATAGTTAAGTTTCCTCTATTTTGGACACCTAAGCTTGCACGGATCTGTAATAACCTGCTCGGTAGCATCATTTTTAACTTTGCAAGAGTGCTTCTGGCATACAATGAGGATTATATTCACAACAGTTTTCAGGAATTTCAAAGTTCAAACTTCTAACAGCTTGGCTGCACATATAACTAACACTTGCACAATGATAAAGAAACCAGATATGCCACACTGTAAAATATTGTCTGCCACACTGTAAAATACTGTCTTGGCTGAAAAACTGAAAGATCTAGCAGCACCACAGTGCTGCAGTATCTACAAATGAAGTTCACCTAGGCTTGAAAATTATTCAAGACCAAAAAAACCGCTGCTTAACTCCTCAAGCATTTCTTTGCAGACATCTAGCTAATTATAAGCTCCATTTTAAATGGGCATCATTCCATCAAAGTTACATGATTTCAGTCAGGCATTCTATCCTGACAACAGGTAGTTATCTGGCTAAACACTGCAAGAAGAGCAGCTATAACATCATGCTGAATTTTGGGAATTCAGAGCACATTAACTCTTTTTTGGCTGCACTGGTGTAAGTGTATAAATAGGGAAGATGGATTACTGATCTGTCCCATGAACTAGGGAGAAGGAACAATGTAATATTATGCAATTACTCTCCCTGTTCCAGAGCTACAAATGCTGTTTTCTGGTTTCTCTCTCCATTGATGAAAGGATTCAGTAGCTCTCCCCATTTTCACCAGTACAATGGTACAAGGGAAGAGAGAAGATAGGAATTACAAGCCACGTAATATTTACAACGTATTCAGAGAAAAAAGATGACAGACATTTCTCCTCTGTTCTGACCAAGCTCTCTAAGAACTGAGAACTATAAAATATTGCCTCTGCACACACATGCTTGGGGTAGAAAAGGACAGAGAAGGACATGTGCAGCATCGAAAAACGTATTTAAATCTTAAACCTCCCATAAATCAAGCAGCTATCCACACCCAATTTAAGCCATAGGTTTGGGATTTTGTTTTTAAAGCCTCCAATGAAGGAACATCAAGGACTTCCCCAAGTAGCATCTTCCAATATTTCCAACAGTTACTCCTTTTATCTAACTCAAACTCACTTTGCCACAGTTCTCAGTTGACTTTTTTTCTTAAAGGTGAGGTCCATACAGGGGGGGGAACCCTGTAAAATAGGGGGAACCCTGTAAAATATTTTGGGGGAAGGAGGCGGGAGCTTTTACTTAATTGAGATGTAATCCCTTCTGAATTGAGATGTTTCTCTTCTGGAAGAGATAAACCTACTAATTTCAGTTGTGATTTCTACATTACTTCTTCTATTTAGACTACTTTCTCTATTCATACCCATGCTATATTACTCACGGAATCATTCCCCAACTTTGTCCACCTATATAACCACTAACATGCAAATTAACATAGCCCTGTTAATATACCCCAGAAGGTTTATAATGTTTACAACAAGGGATAAAGAAATCTCACCAATGTACCAAAAGGACAGGCATAAGCAGTAACACTGAATTAAGATGAATAACTGCCTGGACATACCTCGATTTTGATCTTGACCTAGAGTGCGATTCAGAATGTTTGGAAGCCCTCGATGGACTGCGAGATCCTGACCTGCTCTCCGATTTTACACGAGCAGGACTCCCAGCTGGAGATTTTGACTGGGAGCGAGACTCCTAACAAAAAAGACAGTATTAAAAATGGTATTGGTTGTATAAATGCCTAACTCCTAACATTTAAAGTACAGTAATTCTATTATATTGATTGCTCCTGAAAAACAAATGGTTAGGCAACACCCTCCAAAACAAATTTCATTTTGCTAACCCACTGTTAATATTGTATGCTTTCCTCAAATAGGTCCCTGCTTGAACCAGATCACCAATTCTCTATTAACTAAGTAATCATGCAAATTCATCTACAACTTGATCATACAGACACTGGAACATAAACCATACATTTACTTAACCTAGGACCCATTCATTCTTCCAGATTCTTTTAATTCTACTTCACTCTTGCTTTCTACTTTTCTTCATTCTTCATTGAGTTTTTCATTTTTCATACTTCGTGTATTCTTCCCCAATTCAAACAATTCATTATAGCCTTAAAAAAATATTCAAGTGCTTCTATCTGACCAATCTTCTGTTCAATTTTTTCCCCCATTCAATTTTAATTTTCTGATCTTTAATACTTTTCATTAGCCTTCTTTTATCTTGATTTATCTTCCACATTCTTGGAAAAAACTCTTCAATTTCTTCACGAACATTAACCTTAATGGAAAAAGAACATTTAGTATATTTAAGCACGTGGGGATTATAAAACTCTGCTGGAGTTCAGATGTTATCTACCAAATTGAAAAACCAGCAGGTAAAGTGCAAGAAACTATTTTATAAAACAACTTTAAAAAAAAAAAAAATCTTTAAAACTGTATATGTGTCTACGTTCTAACAATGAGCTTACTGAGTTCTCAGTGTTTTACTGTATTTTCAAAGCTACCCTCCTCCCCTTTCAGGTTTTTTTGTAAGATACATAGATATGCTAAAAACTAATTAGTACAAATATATTAAAGTATAGATATCAATAACTGTTATTTCCCCCCTAAAATAATAACTATATGCTTCTCAGTATCAAATACTCCAAATTCTACTCCTACACATTATTACTAAGACACTCTCAGTTCAATAGAATGGCCGAAGATTTCCAGTCAAAACGTACCTATGCACATACTTACTTGCATAATACATGCACATAGATATATGCAACAAATTATTTTTCTTCCTACTTTTTCTTTCTCATTGTTATCCTGTTTTCCTTGCATATAACTTAATCCATATAAAACAAGATGTCTAATAGTACAGTTCAAAGCAATCCAATAAAAGTAAAGACAGGAGGGTTTTTTTCTTGCATGGTAACGCACACAAGAGAAAAACTAGGAAAACAAGCAAACAAAGAGCAGGTTAGGATTTCCTCACATTTTATAGTGTACAACATTTCTAGGGAGCTCAGCTGTAATAAACCTCTTCAGAATAGTATGCTATATACACATCTGTAACTTCACAAAAAATGTGCAAAATTCTTAATGAAAAAAAGGCATAGCAAGTTTCCTTCACGTGTTATATTTCATGTTTATTTGCATCATTTTTCCTCCTGCCTGTCCTCGCAATGTTTTTCTCAATTTATTTCTTACTCTGCCTATTTCCAGATTTGCATCTTTTGCAGTTAAATTCTTCAGTACCTTGGGCTGAAGTTCTTTTCAAAGGATGCTGTCCTCACATTTCCAGACCATAAATCCCACCAGAAATGGAACCTGAGAGACTCCTTACTAAAAAGTATTACAGCTACACTACCTTTCCCCTTTACCTCAATAAGGACAAGGGACACATGGAGAATGTCACTTATTGGGATGACAGGCCTGCCACGTTTATCAGTGAAGGCCAAATTCAAAGCTTGGCTGTGACATGTGGACCATATAATCAGGTCTGCATTACAGGTTACTCTTATTAAGCTGGCGACCTGCTGATCTAGCTACATGACTTTCACTGAAATAAAAGGAAGTATCTGCATTTAAAGATTACCAAATTTTTTTTGCTGTTTTTATTTTTACATTTGAAATCCACTCTTCACTACAAAAAAATGCCACTATAAAAATACCACCATGTTAGAACCACTAAGATGCTTTTTAATCACTTTGCCTCTATTTTTGTACTTATTGTTTGATAGCCTCCTTAATTCTTCCCTTTACACTTCATCCCTTGCAACAATTACTAATCTTTCTGGGAATTATTTCCACTTCTCTCCCTAGTAAAAGTGATCAGCAATATAGAAAAAACATTTAATGTGACATCATTCAGATTTAGAAAACATCCTTCAATGAAAAGACAAAGAATTCACCCTCCTCAGTCACTCCTTCATGAGGATACTATGTTGTCCATACTTTTTACATTTGAAAGATCAAATCTTGAAAAACAAGAACTTTGAAAACTTGAACAAAAAACCCCCCAAAACAATATAACCAGAGACAGCACAATCTAGAAGTGTTGGGAGGTGCCAAAAATACCAAGGACCCAATCATTCCCATACAACGTAAAAGTTAGTTCTCTGTTCAACTGAAGCATCTTATGACACCATCCATAGAGTTTCTAATAGCATCGGTTATGACAACAAATCCGTATTAAGTTGCCAAAAGCAAATGTTACATAATTTCATGTAGGTCAAGTCCTTTTGGAACTATCTGTTTAAGCCCTTTAGGGGCTGCACTCAAACATAAACTTCAAAATTGGAGTGACAGAGGTGACGGCATACGTTCTTACACATTTCAAACTTCCTCAAACAAAGTAACTGTAGATGTAAACTGCAGCTAAAGAGAGATTACCTGTTAGCAGTTGCATACTCTGTCTGTCATTGGCAGGCAATTACATCTCATCTTCTGATGCAACATAGATCACCTAGTTATATCTCCTACAGTGCTTCAAAAGGAGAGACTAAGGGAATCACAATAATCTGCAAGAGTTTAAGGACTTAAGGATGATGCTGAAAAAATACCTAGTAAGATTTATATCAGCAAGACTACAGGCAGGGATTAAGAGATTCGGAGCTTCAAGGAGTCATGAAAGGAGATTTTAAAGAATTTTCCTCCTCTACTTTCTACTATAAGGAAATAATTAGCAAGATGTATCTTAAGTCTATATTACAGACTGACCCAATTGTTCTGCATAAACAATTTATATCCATTATGCTATATGAACGTGAAAATTAAATAGTTAACATTCTTTCTTAGTACGTCATCTTTTATGAGAGAAAACAGACACCTTTATTATCCAACACATTAAAATCTCTCAATTCTGTACTTTAAGCAATCTAGATATTCTGATCTTAGCTCCACCGATATCACAGGAATTAATTTAAACACTGCTTAAGAGACAAAAGACTAAAATTTCTCTCTGGATCCTCAACATTTTCCTATCTTTCTGTTCTAAAGAATCTAATCATTTAAGGGCCACAGAGAAGACTGCATTTCTTAAACTCAGCTTCTCATCCCACAACCATCTTACAATACAGTATGTATTTTAATGCCTTCAGCGTTACTACGCAACTGTCCAGTCATTACTCTCACCCTTACAAACTTAAGGACAGATACTCACTGTGACCATGTCAAACTATCTAGATTTGCTGTCACTACAGCCTGTAGGAAGAGACAGTCAGCTAACTTCCTAATATTCTTCAGATCAGACTTTCCTTTCAAAACAAATGCTAAATCTGCCAATAACACTTTTCCCAGGGGAAAAAAAAAAAAAAAAAAGAAAGAAAAACAACAACACACAAAACCCCAACAAAACAAGAATACCCTCAAACCCACACCAAAAACCCCATCTAGAATAATAATAATAAAAAAATCTCAGTTGTAAAAACATGCTTCCTCAGAATAAGATGTGGTAGCTTCCTCAAGTACATACCAGGAAATGGGATTAATGATTCACCGAGAAGTGGAACTCCGAGCCAAAGAAATTATTACAGTTAAACAAAATCTAAAGACTGCAGCTTCAGCTACTGATTCTCTGGATAAGAAGATGCGCAGCTAGAAGCATTTAAAGAGAGTATTTTTCATCCTTTCTAGCTTCTGTCTTTCTGGGAAGAACACCACAAAACAAAGTGGTAGGGAAAGAATATCTTCCCTCCCCACACCCATTACCTCATGATCACATAAACCCAGTCATTGAACAACTATCAATGACTTTAGATGATCCAGCTGAGCTAGATGTTAGTCATATCAATTCATTTCATCCATACTAGTACAACTGTTTAAATCATACAATCAATGCAAATTCCATCTGCTGTTTATCTTCCTCCTATTCTTCAAAAGAAATGCTTCTTCCAATATAATTACTATTTTAAAAGCATTCAAAACACTTTTATGCAAAGCAGAATTGCAGAAGTCCTTAAAGAAGTATTCTTTCAATTTTCCACCTATCATGAGAGGGTATGATGAAGAACATGGAGCAGGGGGGAAACAAAAAATTGTTCTTTCTTTTATACCACTCTTCTGTCATGCCTTACCTCACCTCACACCTTACCATTTCAGAGTATGACAGAAAGTCTATCAAAATTTTAAGCGAGACACTAAATAAAAAGAATGGAATAAGCTTAAATTAGGCTTTCTACAGCAAAGCATGGGAAGTGAAATGGGAAGAAAAAAAAAATCATTAAATCACACAGAAATTTCACTTGAAATTCATTTGACCTTGTTAAGAAGAAATGTGCATGGGGTGAAAAAAGGACAGGACAAGTAGTATCATTAAGCCAGCAAAATGATAGTTCAGACTTCACAAAAATGCTGCTAAAAACTCCTGCCCACACTCAAATAAATGAGGTCCAACCTTATAAGGGGACAGAAAAATAGAAGCAGTCAAAAAGGAAACAGAAATTTATCAGCAGCCTACATTCACTGGATAAAAGCGTCAATTTACTGACATCTCATTTGAGAAAGGACAAGATTACATTTTAACCACTCTTGACAGGAAGATACCAACTTTCCCCAACACTCACAAGTTAAATAGTTTTTGCTCCACACTATGTTCTGTTACCCTATACTAAAAATATAAATGATCCCTTAATTAGCTGTTCTTCTATAAATATTTCAACAGTATATGTAATAAGCTTCTGTATAAAAAGCAACTCGTAAGTTGCGCTATCTTGAAGGCATATGTTTTAAAAGTTACCAACATCAGCAACCTTGATGCAACCTCCATAATACTGCTCTGATTAAAAGACAAAAAGAAGGGGAAAAAAAGGAAGAGGAAGCTTCAGCAATAAACTTTTTGAAATGACAAGTTGATCTTCTCACTGAGGCTTGAAAATATGCCTCTTCAGGGAGGGTTCTGTGGTCACTCCTTTATCATGTATGGAAGATAAGAAACAGAATTTGTTTTCAAAAAGAAGTCTTCCCAGCTCATATGGTCCAGAACAATCTAGAATTTTTTAAGTGTGATTAAGAAAAAAAAATTACTTCCAGAAAAAGTCTCCTTTCCCACACTGGTCATCAGAAAGCACAGGGTGATCACAGCACTCTCCAAACCAATGCAGAACTCCTGAGCATAAGCAGATCTTCATGCCTGTATTTCAAAAGGTACGGAAAGCAATGTGCCTTCCCTTCCACAGAGGTGGCAGATTGCCACTACAGGAGAGGCTGAATACAACAGTTAAACAGACTGTGTCAGTCGTCCCCCCCATTTTTTTTTTTTGGCCAAAGAAATGATCTCGAAGTTGATCAGATTTAGGTAACTAACATTAGAACACATAGGAAATAAAAGTATTTTGCACACAAGTTTCATGAAGCAAATACAAAACACATTCACAGTTAAGCTAATCCAAGAGCTGCCTGCATACATATGAACTATGCATACTTCCTTCCTTCAACAAGACGGTTCACATGCAAAATCATGTATTTCAAGTGCTTTATTAGACTGAGATCATGGTGACATTCTGCACAGAGCAGGAAGAGGCATCTCATTAGAATGAAGACAACCAATGTGGAGCTCTAAAATGGAGTTCTATCTTTGTTCTGATAAAACGTTTTATCTATTTAGACAAATGGCACATTAATATTGGTAGAAAAGTACTAAACTTTTAAGATTACAGAAAACAAACATCATCAGAAGCTCAAAAAAATAACTGATCAAAGTTTCAAGTGGAGCTTCTGAAGCGCAGGTTTGTTCAGACTCCAACTCATTCACTGCTCTGGGAAACCTTTTAATAGTTGCATCACAGAATGCACAACAAATGAACAATGTGTTATTAAAATTAACAACAAACATGAAAGGAAATAAGAGTTGCCTGTCATCTGACAGCAACAGAAGATAAAGAAGCTTCACTTGCCTAACCTGCTCACAAAGAACATTCAATGGTGATAAAATCCTATGACTTTTCCAAAAGTCAAGTCATTGGATAAGAAGCACGACTTAAAAACATTTTTTCTTCATAATGCCCATAAACTTAGCTCTAGCACATCCACTATATTCCTAATTCTTCTGTCAATTTCTTTCCATTAAATCACCATGCTTGCTTGAGGGAGGGGGGGATTTCTTCTGTTCAACCAGCCACATGCTTAATACAGAACTTGCTTAAGTTGAAACAAAATGACACAAAAACAGAGCAGATGTTAATTAGTATGAGCATATTTGATTAACATTTGCTTTAAAAAAAAGTCAATGAGTGAGCTCAATAATAATAAAAAACCCTCTACAATGACTACAATTTTACCCAACACTTTAGAAACACAAGTTTTTAAATAGAGAAAATTATGCAATCTTATTGAAAAATTATTTCCATGGTTATTCTAAATTTTCTGTTCAGATTAATTAATATAATGATTTTTAAATCATAAATTAGAAGCAAAGCATATACATGGACAGTATCTTAATGCTGCTAAAAATAAGCTTTTTTAAAAAAAGAGTTCCTGACCACATTGTGGGAAAATGAAAAAATTTAACTAAATTATCATTATTTATATATGAACATTTTTTCTTCACAAAGTAAGTAGCAAAACAGGAAAACATTTTCTAATTAATCTCTAAGACAAAACTTTATGTATCAATAAGCACCTTCATCCTGGTATCAGACTTCACTACTTGCAAGAAGTTTCACTGAAGTGCTTTTGGGACAATATGCATCTACACAGAACATAAAAGGATTTAAACTAAACTTAAACTCTCTCAGTCCTTTGGCATTTAGATTTTAAAAGCACATCACACTATTTAGTATTTAGTATTAGGAGTGTGTGAAGGGGGGAACTGAAAGGGTACTCAGAATTCTTATTTGTGGCAAATTCTAGGAAAGCAAGTTCTTTACGAACTTTTTTCCAGGTTCTGCAGTTCTTTCTCCCATTGAAAACTTACGCTGCACTCTTTCAGTTCCATGTGCCTGCATGTAGCAAACCAAGGCACCAGGACACTCAATGTGTAATAAGAGTTCTATCCAACTGGGAATAGCAGACTAACCACTAAACCCCCTAAGTTACACATGCTTAATTTTATGCCTGTGAGCACTTTCAGTGAAAATGAAATATAAAATGTTACAGCCTGAAATATAGTTTCTTATTTCAAGTATTTTAGTATCACCACCACCAACAAAAAAAAAGTATTACTGAAGAAAAAAAGAACTGCTTAGAAGTGTTCATTAGCAGAACAAAAACCCAAAACTATAAATGAATCAAGTACCTGCCTTTATATTCGGTTATAAAAAAGTACCAATAGACAAGACACAGCCACATGCTAAATTGATTGAGAAATTCCAGTGTTACGGAGAGAAAAGTTTTCCAAATGAAGACTCAACACAGTCAGCAGGTAAATCTTCCACCACAAAAAAAAAAAAAAAAAGAACAAGCCACCTAAGTAGCAGCAGTCATAGAAACCGCTACATAGGACTTTTTCAGACTTCACATACTCTCAAAGTATTATTCTACTTCTACATTTGGCAGAAGGCGTCATGCAGAAATACTGAAACCACACAGCTATTCAGCTTTGTGACACCAACAACAGATCCATCAAGGAACCTAACACAAGTGTTCTGTGGATGAGCCTAATATAAATATTTCCTGACAATAAACCTCAGAGGGAATACAGACAATAAAATAATTTTTAAAAACATCAATCTTGCTGTAAAATGGGAGACTGAAGTAAAACTTTATAAAAATTAACAACAAAGCACACTTGTTCAGCTCTCTCAGACTTGGTTTTCCCTTCAGAGATTAGTTTATTTAGCTGAAAAGAGCTTAGCTATATAGCCATCTTTGTCCACAAGCAATCAACACAAGAACAGATTTTGTTTACCTCACCTGAGGAACCAGCAGCAGTCACTACACAGCCGGGTATAGCACTCTCAGCCTAGGGAATGTGGTGGGTTTTGTTTGGTTGTTTTGGGGTTTTTTTTTGTAACTAACACTACAAAAAGGTAACAATATTCGTGTTAAAATAATTATTGGAGTATGACACTGCTCTTCCAATATTTCATTGCTCGTTTCCCCAGGCAGTAATCCAATATAATTGCAAAGCTGCTGTCACTGGTTCATCAGAGAAAGTCACCAAAAGGATGCTCAGGTGTTCCTCTAAAGCATCTCTTAAAGAGCGAACAAAAAAAGTCTCTGCAAAATTAGAAAGAGCAAGTAGTGACGGAGTGAGGACAAAGCACACGTTTCATTCCCATTTCAAGCAGCTTCTAATCCCTGTTTGCCCTGATCATCACTAAGAAAAAAAAAAAAAAAAACAAAACACTGAAAATGGAAGGGCCCGGTCATACGTGTACAGGAAAAACCCCAGCAATCGGAGGGAAGAGAGAAGAAACAGGCTTAACAAGGTTACAAACCCACAGCAGCTTGTTGAGAGAAAGTCTTCAGCTGCGTGATCAAGGAGTTTGAACGGTTTAACAACGAAGGCCATACCTCCCCGACGGCTTCAGGAAGCCTGGCCCGAAGAAGATCCTGTTTACGGGCCAGCAGCCAGGAGCGGCAGCGCACCTCGCACAAAAGGGCCCAGTCCCTCCTCTTTTACCCGGGCGGAGGCCTCGGCTACGCCGCGCGGGACCGCGCTCTCCCAGCCACGACCGGGAGACCGGCACTGCCCGCAGGCAGAAGGGGGACGGGGAAGGGCAAGGGCAAGGACCCCAAACCCCAGACCCAGCAGACAACAGAGGCCCGGGACAACGGGACGGCTCGGGATCACGGGAAGGAAAGAAAATGAAGAGGGAAGCGGGGAGAAACGCCGGGCTACAGCAGCGCCCTAAGCCCTCTTCTTACCGAAGAAACCCGCGCTAGGAGGGTGGAGGCGAACCCGCAGCACCAGAGCTCGGGGCCCGCACCCCGGCGGAGGGGGATGGGGACGGAGAGGCGCGATGGGAGAAGGAAGCGTGCGAGTGTTAACGCAGCGGAGCTCAGCTCCGCGCCGGGCCAGTTCCTCGGAGCCGGGTCGGCAAA